AATCCTTATCTCTAAACCTAACACTAATCCTAATGCTTGATCAAGACCTAGTTCTAGCCCAACCACTAACTCTAAATTTACCCCTAAACCTAATCCTACTAGATTAGCTTTAGCCCTAGCCCTAGTCCAACATTTATCTTTTACCATAACCACCATAAGACTAGGCCAAGCCCTAGTCATAGCCCAACCATTACCTCTAAGCCTAACCTTAACTTAAAAAGAAACCTTTTTATTGTGATTTGAGTGAAGGTTTACAGAGCAAATTGGTTTTCCATTCAACAGTTCAAAAACATGACACTGCATTTCCCACAATGTAATAGCACTCTTTCCATTTCCTTCCTGTGTTTACTGTTTCCATTACTCCTTTTCCGCCTTCTAAGGTCTAGTCCAGGGCAATGCAGCATTTCTTATTTTGCATGGTTAATGGTTCAAAGAAGTGCATACCTCCCTGTTGTTACTGCTCACCCTACAGATCTTTTTACTGTTTGGCTGGAAGTTGAGCCATGGGGTGAGCTGAGTTCCAAACTTGAACAGTTTGGAACCATAGTTTCAGGGGTTCCACCAGTCTCCATCATACCAGTAAGCCTGGTTTTTGTTTTGTGTTTTTAATCATTTTGTATTTTCCTCCATGTTTTTCTTCCACTCTCTTGAAGAACCTCTGTTGTGATCCTTTCTAGAAACGTGAGCAGTGGTAGCAGGGCACCATCTAGTTCTTTTCATCTCAGGGTGATGGGAACTGAGATTAGTAAAGATCCTAGATCCAGGGAAAGATTAATGCCAAGGTGCATGGAGATCTTCAAAGCCTTTTCTTCAGAATTCAGACTTGTGATATGTCTGTTGTCGATACACTATATAACTAGGACAATACTTTTGCCTATTATAAACATGGACATATTTGCAGCATATACAAGTGTTATTCAGTACTGTCAGGTCAGTTCCAACCCACAGAAAATCTGTATAGGGTATCCAAGGAGAGCCTGATAAGTTTGGACCTCTGAACTTTTGATTGTCATTCTAGGACTTATCCTACTGTACCATACCAGGACTCCAGCATATATGTGTTTGTAAAAATGTCACCTACCAAACCTATATATGGTTATGCATTTATCTTCCCTGTTGGTGTATCATTTGTTATTACTGATAATGCATGGTTTTGTATGTAATAGTATTTATTTTTGTAATCTGTAACTCTTGTGCACCTCCCTGTGCCTTTGTTTTCTTTAATGATATGTGGATTACTCCCTTATTGCATGTTGTCTTGATCCAAACTAATCAGTATCTATTATTTATTTAGTGTTTTCCCCTACTCTCCCCTGACACCTTGCTTGGATTTTATAACAGTGGACTCATACAATATGTGTTATGATTAACTTATTCCACTCAGCATAATGTCCTCCATGTTCATCCACATTATGAGGTGTTTCACAGGTTCTTCATTATTCCTTACTGTTGTGTAGTATTCCCTTGCACCATAGTTTTATTTATCCATTCATCCATTGATGGGCACTTAGGTAGTTTCCATCTCTTGCTATTGTGAATAATGCTGCAATGAACATAGGTATGGACTGTTATTTCTTTAGGCTATATACCTAGTGGGATTCCTGGATCAAATGCATTCCTATTTCTACGTTTTTAAGGAAACATTATGCCATTTTCCACAGTGGTTGCACCATTTAGTGCCATCAGTCCCATCACCAACATCTGTTTATTTAACTTTAGTGTTAACGTTTGGGTGAGATGGTATGTCATCATTGTTTTGATTGGTATCTCTCTAATGGGTAATAATCACAAACACTTCTTTTGTGTTTGTTGGTCACCTGAGTGTTTTCTTGGAAAAGTGTCTTTCATGCCCTTTACCCATTTAAAAATGTTATTGTTTGTCTTTGTATTGTTGAGAAGTTGAAGTTTTCTATAATTTATTTAGATTAGCCTCATGTGGGATATGTCATTGCCAAATACACTTTCCTACTCTCTAGGGCCTCTTTTTACTCTTAGGAGAAGTAGGACAAGCACTGGACTGCCAACAGTTCAAACCCACCAGCTTCCCCACAGGAGAAAGATGGGGCTTTCTACTCCTGCAAAGATTTATAGTCTCAGACCTATGTAAGGTCACTGAGTCAGAATCCACACATACCAATGGGTTTTTTGGGTTAGATGCATATGTTGTTGTTGTTAAGTGCCATCGAGTCAGTTCTGACCCATAGCGACCCTGTACAGGGTTTCTGAGGCTGTAAGTCTTTACGGGAGCAGAAAGCCTCATCTTTCTCCCGCGGAGCGGCTGGTAGTTTCGAACTGCTGACCTTAAAGTTTGCAGCCCGATTCGTAACCACTACGCTACCAGAGCTCCTTAGATGCATATAAGGATTCCATTTTTGGAAGGTTCCACTCACCCAGTTTATCATTTTGGTTATATCTGTTTTTGCCATAAATTAGGGTCCTAGCTCAAATCCACCAGTTGCTTTGAGAGAAAGAAGAGGCTTTTTGCTCCTGAAAGATTTACAGCCTCAGAAATCCATTATGTGTTGGAATACACTTGATAGCAGTGGGTTTGGTTTTAGGTTTGTTCCTTTTTGTATATGATGTGAGCTATCAATCTTGTTTCATTTTTATGCAAATGGATATTGCCAGCACCATTTGTTAAATAGACCATCTTTTCCTCATTTAATATATTTTGGCTCTTTGTTGAAGATCAACTGTCCATAGGTGGGTGGATTTACTTCTGGGTTCTCAGTTCTGTTCCATTGGTCTATGCATCTGTTGTACCAATACTACGCTGTCTTGACTACCATAACTGTATAGTGGGTTTTGAAATTAGGACATGTGAGACAACCTACTTTTTTCTTATTCTTCAGGAGTGCTTATATGAAGTGTCTTTCTTTTCCATTTAAAGTTAGTGACTAGTCTTTTCATCTACTTAGAGACCACTGATTGTATCTGGATTGGAATTGCATTATTTGTAGATCAGTTTGGGTAATATTGATATTTTCACAATGTTAAATCTTCTTATCCATGAGCACGGTATGTTCTTCCATTTATGTAGATCTCATAGTTTCTTGTAGTTTTCTTTGTATGTCCTTTGTATATCTGGGTAGGTTTACCCCTAAGAATTTTATCTTTTTGGTAGCTATTGGAAAAAATATTGTTTTCCTTATTTCATTTTCAGCGTTCTCTTTGTTGGTGTAAAGAAATCTGACAGATATTTAAATTACTGCTCATATACTCTGCAACTTGGCTGAATCTTTCAATTAGTTCTTGCTGAGTCTTTGAGGTTTTTTATGTATGATTTTTTAGGTGTGTGGTTGGTTTCTATTGGCTATGATTTTATTGAAGATTTTATCATCTATGATCATGAGGGATACTATAATCTTTTTTTATATATAATACAAAAAAAGTAAACTATGATTTTATTGTGAAATTCTCATAGATGGAAAATTAAGTTGAATATTTATTCTGTCCATTTCATTGTACAGTAATCTTACCACTTATTTTTGTACCATTGTATTTCAATTGCCTGTTTAGTGAAAAATAAATCTTTAATTTTTGGCTTGTTTTTAGCTTAAATTTTTATCATTGAATTAAAGGCCCCCACCATAAAATGTGTTGCTCAGCAGTCACATCCTAAGCTCCCATGTTAAGAGTGTTTTGGCTACTACTTCAACAACCCCAAAGAACAAACCTTGACCTCAATCACATTAAAATACCAATATTAGTGAGAGGTTTTTGTTTCCCACAATAAAAAATAAAACCCTAAGATCTTAATGGATATTTTCATTATGTGCAAAATTACACCCAAATAAGTATATTTCTCTCACTTAAAATTCCCACCATGTATTTATGCTTTCAGTTAATTTTTTAGGAATATAATTTCTAAAATTAGGACAAATAGTGAATTTCCTGCTTTCTACATCAATGTTTTAACTTTCCTCCAATTTATGCTATACAATGGTGGAAAATAAAACAGCTGACACCTGACTTAGCCTAGAAGAAAGAATACTAGCACACATGTTCATCTGCTTTCAGTCAGTTTGGAAGAGTGTGCTGCTGCCATTCTACCACAGGTGAGTAACAAAATATAGACAATAAATGAAGCCATTCCACATGGTTTTAGAGAAGGATAGAAATTATAGGCTAAACAGTACACATTCTAAACTTACTTGTTTTCCAAACAATTTAATTTTCCTGAACCACTAATGATGGTTAAATCCTGAACCACATAGACACCTCCCCAGGTTGTTTCATCAGGTATTATCTGGAAAGCATATTGGATATGACTCTAAGATCCCCTGGTTACACACACAAATTACTTGGGTATAATGCAAGGTTATAATTCCCTTTAACCATAGAATTAAAACAATATTATCACCACACAGTTGGATATTACTTCCAATAAGTACAATATTTATTAAACATATCTTCAGTTGTTTTGTTATATAGTATGCAACAAATTACAATATTCCACAGCCACAAATTATATGCAGAGTATGAAGAAACTATTAATAAGATAGTATAATCTTTCAATGGATAACTCTACAAGGAAGAACTAGCAAATCAGATCTTACATATAACATCTCACTAAACTTTATGCATGGAAAGTGACAGACATGGGTAGTGCTGTTTGATATAAAATGGCTGAACTTCATCTTCAGAAGACTAAATAAACCCGACATCTAAACATGCCAATATAAACATCAAAACAAAATCTATTCTAACCAACCACAGGGAAATGGTCTGATACCAGGAAAGCAACAAGGATTACATACATATTTTATAAACCAGCACACAAAAGTTTAAAACAGTTCTGAAAATGAAGTTAGCTGTCTTGAGTCAAGGGAAAAAAAAAAAAATAAAGTCAGTATTGACCATTTACAATTTCTGACCTTTGTGGAGACGGTAAGAATCTGTTGTAGTGCAGCTACATACAGTACAATTCAGGCAATTTTGTTTTTTCACTTGGCTTCAGATTGTAAATTCATTGCTGTGAAAAAGGATGGAGGCAAATTTTAGCAGCAACCTCCACCTGACTGCTTGGCTGGAGTGCTCTGAATTTTAACATTGGTCTTCTCTGTACCACCAGCTGTTGCTCCAGGGCCCATCCATTTTTTAATGTCAGCTGCCATTATTGTGAAAGACTTGTCTACATTCCTTGCATTTTTAGCACTGGTTTCCAAAAATGGAATTCCATGGGAATCAGCAAATTCCTTTGCTGTTGTGTAGTACTACTTTCTTTGTGGTCAGATCACATTTATTTCCTACCAACAATTTGTTGACGTTTTCACTGGCATAACAATTAATTTCCTGCAGCCACTATTTAACATTATTGAAGGACTCCTGGTGTGTCACATCATGCACAACTATTATACCATGGACTCCTCTGTAATAACTGGACGTGATTGTTCGAATCTTTCTTGGCCTGCTGTGTCCCATATTTGAAGCTTTGTTGTTTTGCCATCTAACTCTATAGTTTTTATTTTGAAATCCACACCGATTGTGCTGATGTAGCTTTCTGTGTATGTATCATCTGCAAGCCTAAGGAGGAGGCAAGACTTTCCAACCCCAGAGTCTCCAATCAGAAGTAACTTGAATAAATAATCATATTCGGGATTCATGCTGGACATGTCACTGCAGCTGCTGCCGCCACCGCCACCTTTGCAGCCTCCGCCCTGACTCTCCGCACCACGGGTAATCAAAGGAAAGGAATGAGATACTGTTCCCGGAGACCAAATTTCTTCCCTGACTTTGTCCCCCTAAACACAATCAGCAGCCGCCGCCACTCAGCTATTGCTTCTACCCAAAATGCTATATTCTCTTTTTAGTGATGTATTGGACTGGTTTTGGTGTCAGGTTTATACTTGCTTCATAGAACGAATTTGGGAGTATTCCATCTTTCTATACGTACTGGAATAGTTTGCATATAATTGGAGTTATATCTTCTCTGAATGTTTGGTAGAATTCTCTAGTGTAGTAATCTGGACCAAGATTTTAAAAATATAATTTATGACTTGTTCAGTTTCTTCTTTTGTTATGGGTCTGTTTAAATTTTCTGCCTTAGTGTATGTTAGTCTAGGTAGGTCATGTAGCTCTAGAAATTTGTCCATTTCTTAAAGATTTAAAATTTTGTTGGAGTCCAATTCCTTGTAATATTCTATTATTATTATTTTTATTTGTTCTGTTGTGATGCTGTCCATTTCATTTTTTATTTGTTATTTGCATCTTCTCTTTCTTTATCTTTTTTTAAATTTTTCAAATGATTTGTCAATTATGTTAATCTTTTGAAAGAACAAACTTCTAGGTTTGTTTATTCTTTCTGTTGTTTCTGTTTTATTTATTTATGCTGTAATCTTAAAAACAAAACAACTTATTGTGAATTAAGTGACAGTTTACAGAGAGCATCAGTTTTACATTCAACAAATCATATATTTGTTTTCATCTCAATGATTTCAATCCCATCCATGTGTCAACATTCTTCCCACTTCCACCCTGTGGCTCTTATTTCCATTCCACACTCATTTCCATACCTTCTCAATTTTGCCCTTAAATAAATGTTGCCCTTTTGATCTTGAATGATTGATTAATCCTTGCTGAACATACCTTATTAGCATTGCGGTCTCTACTATGAATCTACTTGGCTGAAAACTGGATCATGAGGGTGAGTTCTGTTCCAGACCTGAAGGGTGGTCGAGGGTCATAGTCCCCATTTCCTCATGCCTCTTTCTGATCAATAAGCCTGGTCTTAAAAAAAAAAAATTTTTTTTTTTGAGATCCATTCTACAGTAGATAGTGGTACCTGGGCACCATCAAGTTCTTCTGGTCTTAGAGGCGTGGTTACTGATGTTCACATGTTCCATTGGTCCATTGGACTGTTGCTTTCAAGCATCTTCAAATTTTTCTCACTCTTCTTTCTTCCACACATGGAGAAATCAATAGTTGCACCTTAGGTGACTGCTCAATATTTTGCTACTCACCAAAGTAGCACGTAGAACATTGTCTTTGTGGACTAAGTTATGCTAATTGACCATGATGTTCCCTGAGATTGTGGTCCTGAGTCTCCAGGCCCAGCAACTCATTGTCTTAGGATGTCTGGTAATATCTAAGAAGTTTTCATCATTTTGTCCCCTGTATGCTTCATCACATTCATAGGTGTGTTAGCTGACATTTACAATATTATTTTTAAAATCCTTTTATATTTGTGAGAATACTCCCATTTTCCCTCTCATAACCATTCAGCCTGTCCATGTATCTGCCCATAGAACACTGTTGTTACAGGGTTGAGTATATAACAGTATTTACTTCTATCCTTTTTAATACTTGCAAACCATCCTGTCTCCACCTGCCTTCATCATTCTTCTACCAACCTCCATTTTCTTGTATATTGCCACCCCTGTCACATGAGTGAACATCTGTCTATCCTCTAGCTAGTAAATTACACTCCCTTACCTCCTACTCCTTGTAGCCATCATATAATGTTTCTTTTAGCATGAAACCTTGAGTTTTTACAACAGTGGTCTCATACAATGTTTGTCCTTTTGTGATTGATTAATTTCACAATCACAAACACACTGTCCTTCAGATTCATCCATGTTATGAGGTGTTTTGAAGATTCATTTTGATTCTTCAACATTGCATTGTATTCCATTGTGTTAATGTACCAAAGTCTGTATATACATTCTTCCATTGTTGGACATTTGGACTGCCTCCATCTTTTTGCTATTGTGAATAGTGTTGTGATGAACATGGGTCAGCATATATATACTTGTGTCATGGCTCTTATTTATAGTGGATATGTGCCAAGCAGAGAGATGGCTGGGTCATGGTATTTCTATTTCCAACTTTTTGAAGAAGTGCCATACCCTTTACCACAATGTTTACACCATTATACAGTCCCACCAGTGTAGGAGGGTCCTGGTCTCTCCACAGTCCTGCAGGCATTTGTTGTTTCCTTTCTTATTTTTTTTTTCTTCAAACTTTGTTATTAATGCTGAAGTGAGATGATATCTCATTGTTGTTTTAATTTGCATATCTCTAATGGCTAATGGAAGGAGCTTTGGCAGCATAGTGGTTACGAATCGGGCTGTGAACCTTAAGGTCAGCAGTTCGAAACTACCAGCCCGCTCCGCGGGAGAAAGATGAGGCTTTCTACTCCCGTAAAGATTTACACCCTCGGAAACCCTGTACAGGGTTGCTATGGGTCGGAACCGACTCAATGTCACTTAACAACAACAACAATGGGTAATGGAGTCCTGAGAAGCACTGTAGGATAAAGCACTAGACCACAAGGTATTTGAGATCAGGAAGTAAGAGGCCTCCAACTTTATTCTTCGTAAGTAATGCTTTGCTTATCTGAGGTCTCTTTCCTTTCTATATATAAAGATAGTGGTAAATTTTTCCATCTCTTGAAATAATAACATTGGAATCTGGTTTGGGATTTCATTGTAGCTATAGATTGCTTTAGGTAGTATTGATATTTTCACGATGTTAAGTCTTTCTTTCTATGAGCATATTCCATTTTTTGCAAGTGTCTTTCTTATAGTAGTATTTTGTAGTTTTCTTTGTATAGGTCTTTGTTTATCTGGTTAAATTTATCCCAAAGTGTTTCATCTTTTGGGTGACTGCTATAAATAATATAGTTTTCTTGATTTCCTTTTCAGAGCTCTCTTTATTAGTGTAAAAAGCATACAGCTGATTTTTGTGTGTTGATCTTATACCCTGCCACTTTGCTGAATCTTTGAAAACATTCCAATAATTTAGTTATGAGTTTTGGGAATTTTCTTTCTTTTTATTAAAAAGTACTTATTGTGAATTGAGTGAAACTTTACAGGGCAGGTCATCAGTTTTACATTCAACAAATCGTATACTTTGTTTCATTATAATGATTATAATCCCCTCCATATATCACCAGTTAACAGTATTTCTCTCTGTTCATTTTAGCTCTTTCTTTTTTTAAACACGCAGGTATATATAATAATTTAAACCACCAAAGGGCTCATTCTGTAAGCCTCTCTTTCCATGAATTTAGAGTCCTCAGCTGCTACATCTCTCTATGTCCCCATCTCTGCCACCATCTCTGCTGTTACTGCTTCTCTGGATAGGGTCCTGCATTCCACTTGTGTTCTTTTCCCTGGATGGTCCTAGGGTCCTCTGCTTCTGGGCTGTAAGATTAATGATTCCTCTGTTTTTGTTACAAAATTTGTACCTTTACAATTGCAACAATTGCAATTTGTCATGATAACAATTGAATCACTAATGAATCATAAGAATCTTATCCCCATCTCTTTTCACCAGACCCATCTAGAGAAGATAAAAACTATTCAGTGGGGAATCTATCTTTCCCCGCACACTTTTAAACTATACTCCCTCTTGAAAACTTGTAAGCCAGTCACTTCATGCCTTTATTGCACCCTCATTTTAGGTAGCCAATGTCTAAGTTGCCCGTCCTACCTGCCTTGTAAACGGACAGGATAGCATTGATACTCAATGTGAAAACTCCTTCCCTCTCTGTTGGTATTTTGCACTACTACATCCATGAGTATAGGTCAAGTTCATCAAATTGTAGCATTCACCCTCGTTTCCTTTATCAAAAATTATTATCCTTATTTATTATCTTCCTCTAGTCAAGTTCTGATTTTTCAAGCCATTGAGGCTAGGTCAGATGGGTACTATCTGCAAGTGTGGATGTTCTTGTATGTCTCCCCTCACTTCATATCAGCTGGATGCTTCACTTTCAGCTCTAGTCCTCCAGAGCTATGTCCTTGTCCATGGGCTCAGGTGTCCTCAGGTCTCACCACACTCTAGACCAACCAGCCCTTTCTCTTCTTTCTCTGATCTCCAGGTCAATGGAAGTCTATGAAATGTGGTTGAACTCAGCCCATGTCTTCATTGCTGTCTTTCCCCTTATTCCACACACCAGTAGATCAATGTGGTCATCAGCAAGCTTACATGCCTGCTCATGTGTTCCCTGTGAGTTTCAGTCTTAGAGGGGGTTTGCACTGAATGGACTTGATTGCTTGCCTTGATGGCTTCCTGAAGAACGACTTGCTTATTCTTGTAGTAGCCAATCATACTGTCATCTAGGGAATTTTCTATGTATAGAATCATATCATCTGCAAGTTTTACTTCTTCTTTGCCAATCTGGATGCCATTAATTTCCCTTTCCTGTCTTATAGCTCTAAGACTTATAACACAATATTGAAAAGGAGTGGTGATGCATGACATCCCAGTCTGGTTTCAGTTAACAAAAAGAATGCTTTCAGTTTCTCTCAATTACGACTAATGTTGATTGTTGGATTTGTTGCTTGTTGATTGTTGGATTAACTATTTTCAGGAATTTCCCTTCCATTCCTACTTTATTGAGTGTTTTTTAAAATCAGGAATGAATGTTGGATTTTATCAAATACCTTTTCTGCATCAATTGATATGATCATGTGTTTCTTTTTCTTTGTTTCATTTATGTGGTAGATTATGTTGATTGGTTTTTTAATGGCAAACCATCCCTGAAACCCATATGAATCCCACTTGGTCATGATGCATTGCTTTTTTTATTTTATTGGTTAGGATTTTGTTAAGAATTTTTACATGTATATTTATTAGGGATATTGGTCTAGAACTTTCTTTTTTAGTG